GTAAACCGGTGATTCGAACCGCAAGGCCGGGCGATCGATTTTCACTTCCTATCGTCCAACCCGTGTTAGGAAGCACATGTTAAAAGGTAGGACTTCAGTAATCCTGGCTGGCTGACAGAAAAACGTATTTCAACACATTTTAACACTCAGTTTATATTTTTCACCCAAGAAATTTGTTAAGCGTTGAAAATTTTTGAAATAACTGAAAACATAAATAGGAAACAGGAAACATGCGTTGTAACATTATTGAGGCAATTCACTTGCACCAAAGATGAAGAAAAAGAACAAGGAGAAGAAGAAAAAAGAAGCAGCACGATAAGCTCAGAAAAAAGTTTAAAATTCGGCGTACCACAAAGTACTATGTTAGGCCCTATTCTATTCAATCTGTACACCAACGAACTATTCAAAACAACAACATAAGGCTAAATTATCGGCTTTGCTGATGATACTGCGATCTACTATGAAGACTCATCCTGGCAATCTCTGGAAGCCAAAGCTGAAAAAGACTTCACAAATGTAATAAACTTCTTCCAAAATCGACTACTTACCATTAATTTCCAAAAAATGTTTTTCCTTCCTTTCACATGCTACAGCGATAATCTCCCAACATATAGGTAACTTGAATTCAACAGCGGCCTCACAAAGATCCCTTGAGCTTCCCACATCAAATATTTGGGAATTATGATAGAGTGTCACCTCAGATGGAACTAATACGCAGACTACAGAGAAATATTTGACTTGAAATATATGTCAATTCTATATGACACACTGATTCAGACACATATAACATACGGTATGAAGGTTTGGGGTGGTATCGCAGACACCTACTGGAAACCACTAGAGACATCACAAAATGGATCTTAAAAACCATACTCCGTAAAAACTATACATATCCAACGGATAAATTATTCACAGAAGCAAAAGCTCTGGATGCCCGTCAACTTTTCTTCCAATCACTAGTTCTTCACCACCATAAAAACAAGCACAAATACCTATACAGCCTATACAGCACAAACATGAAACACGCTTCAAAGCCAGAACAACAATCATTCCAAGAGTTAATACACGAAAATGTCAAAGTACGTTTACTTACCTCTGTCCAATCTTATATGCTGATATACCAGATGATCTCCGCAGAATTGGCTTCATAGCCATCCAAGAGAAAATATACACCGATCAATTGATAGAAAAAACTTGAAGTGAGATACACTATGCCTTACCTACTTGTTTATATGCAAACTTGTATCTATACTGTACACGAACATAATTATATTTATATGCTTTCTTGTTTGTAATAGCAATATAATGTCTTTTTTTGTTATCTATACATATCTATCTTCTTGTAATATAATAATAACAATAATATGTTTATTCATCAACAACATTGAGTTTGTACAGTTTATAACAGAAATCATATGTGAAGGAACAAACACAAGAACAGCCATAAAGAAATATATCCGCGCTTGGCTATAGTTCTGGCTATAACTCCTAGTGACATATGTATCAATTGCAGGACAAAAAATAAATAAAGTATCATTACTTTTAACTGAGGAGGAAAAATATTTCTTGGCCCAAGATAAACATGGCTCCTTTGTCCCAAAGTTTTATACATTCTAGGGACCATCACGGAGCTGGCACTATTTCTAGTCTGATGTACTATCGTAGATGTTTCTGTTTTCATTTTATGTTGTTTCAGCAGTCTGTCTGTCAGTATAACTGTCTAATATCGAAGAACCCGCTTTCAATATATAGCAGATCTGAAGAATACCTGAAATTTTTTTTTTAAATTATTTTCAATATCCACTTCTGTGTGACTTCTAGTTTTTAAGGTAGTTGTTCGTTAACCCTCCCCAAGCAATTATACCATAACTGAGCTGAGATTCTATATCCCCAAAATAAAGTATCCTCAAGTGGTTTAACGAACAGAAATTCGAGCAGATTTTGAATTTTCTTGTGAGGCCTCGAATTTTCGAGAACAGTTTTTGAACATGTATATCCCATTTGAGATGACAATCAATATATATTCCCAGATACTCAATACTGGTTTGCATCTTTATTTCATATCTATGTTACTATGTATATATTGTATATTCTATAAACTATAATTCTATAAACTGGTCAAGAACTTGGGAAACCTTCTTTTGGGCGCTTCGTATTTATTTAACACCATTTACTGTTGGCAATAATTGTATTGAAACTCTACTTGTATATTTGGTGAATAAATTGTATAGCACTGTATTGTATTATTAAAAAATTATTAATCGGACGAATATATTTCTCTATATTTTTTATTAAAAACGTTTATCATTTTCAACCCTTGCCAATATCTTTTATATTTTAATAGTTTCAAATTAAAGACAATCACCAGATCAGTGGAATAGGCCTAACGGGAAAAGTGGCCTGGAAAAGTGTGCATATTATGACGTTTACAACTATTCCAACTTTTTAAAGAAACTTAAGAAAAAAGTATTCATACATTTTTCATAGTTGATTATCTGATGATCTACATTTTTGTCTGAACTAATTTGATGATAGAACTGACAGTTTTGCTGATAATCCAAAAAATCCGTTTTTTTGACCGAGTAAATTTTTTTACAGGTATCGGATAAATTGAATTTTTTAGATTTCATTCATGATAATTGTACAATCCTACCAAAATAGAGTTGGGTGCGAGTTTTTGTACTTTCACTGCTATTTTTTGGTTTAATTTGACCGAGTTATACCGTTTTCGAGATCTATATCGACACATTTTCCAGAACCGGTATAACAAACCTAAATTATCTCACGAACAGTCATTCATAATTGAAAAATAGAAATACCTCACGAGATGAAAATATTTGAAAGTGATCGTTCATTCAACATGTTTCATCAGTAAGCATAATTTCTCTCATTCCAAGTATCCTAAAAATCCCTCTGAAAATGTTCAACATATTTCAAACAGTTCGTCCTGAAATAAACTCGGAATGTCACCAATTTGTCAGTTATATAATTCCCGAGTATATTTATTTAGAAGGTGGATGTCAATTCCTTCTAGCGAGGGAAACGAAACTCGAGTCACGAATAAAAACAATGACTATTTTTGTTCGCGCTTGTTCTCAAATAATCCTTGTTGTCATTATTGGTCAACCGTCATTTTGTTTATTTCACCGCATCGGGAAACTCCAGGTATTTATTCAGTTGTTTATTGCGCCACTCACAAATGCAAATTGTCACAAATGGGAGAACAACCGGGAGAAGAATACGAATGGTGAACAAAACTAATTTTTTGTGTGGTGTTGTGTGTTTTTTTATTGACCTGTTCTGAATATTTCCAAATTAAACAATTAGAAAATATTAAAATCACAATGAAAAACTTTGTATATTTGTAGAATGGCAAACTTTATTTTACCTTGATGAGATTCTGCGTAAATTTTGTCTTTGAAAAAGAACTGAGAAATGTATAGACAATTATCTTATCTAAACGTTTGGGAGGCCAATATTTGCCGCTGTCTGCAGAAATAATTAATTAAGTAAAAACATTTTCATGTCAAACGGTTTTATTGAAAAAATGATTATAATGATGTAGATAATTTTCTAAATACCAGAAAATATTTCGGAAGTCCTAGGTAGCAGTCACCACACCACTCTCCTCAGCAATCTACGGTATTGATCAGATGAAAAAATAATAAAATCGTTGGGCGTTGTGAAACCTGAGAAAATATGAATAATAGCCAAACGGTTTTATCATTATTTTATATGATCAATACCGTAGATTTCTGAGGAGAATAGTGTGATGACTGCTACCTAGGACCTCCCGAATTATTTTTAAATTTGTAGTACATCATCTACATCATCATAGTCTTTTGTTTTTTCAATGAAACCGTTAAACATGATTTTTTTACTGATTCCACAAGTTTTCAGTTTCTAATTTTGTTACTCAATTCTTCTCATTCTATTCAGTTGATTCAGTTGATTATGTGCCTCTGTGTCAGAAGGGAATATGTAATTCGCCATTTTGTAGCTTTGATCATCATGAATTTGCATCTTCCTCAAAGTGTACTACTATTCTATTAGTCAAACATTGTCATTTGATACCCATATTGGGGTAGTTGTGAGAAAATATGTGATCCGCCATTTTGTTGCTGTGGCCATCTTGATTTTACAATGATACAGAAATCATCAAATTGTATTGTCATCAAAACTGAATGTATGTACCAAATTTCAAATCAATCCGCCAACAGAAAGGGGGTCAAACTTCAATTACTAAATTTGACCCTAATCAACAAGCTAACAAATAAAAGCGTTTCAAAACTCACATTCTGGTGAACTTTGATGTTGAAAGTCTTTTCACAAATGTACCTAATGACAATCGTAAGATCTAAGTTGAAAATTACCTCTGATACACCAAAAAAAGATGGATTATTTTTATACTGGAACAATTAAAATTATTATAAAGAAAACCTATTTTCAATTTGGAGTAGACTTTTATCAGCAAGGCTATGGATTATTCCTTATCTCCTATTTTGTAGACCGCCAAGTCTACAGTACACGTGGACTAGTACGATGCCGGTTCATTTCTATGTATTGTTTTTTTTTGGCCTTTGAGAGAGCCGCCAACTTTAAGAGTGCACAATATCGTTTACTTTGACTATATAAATGCAACTTTTTATAGACTTTCAGAGATGGACAATATATGGCAAATTCAGTTCGTACTGGGAATATCACCACCCCGACTTCTCACGGATATTAAAGTTTTATTTCAACGAATTTACACAAAACAATAAAAAATTATATTCATAAATCTTCCTTTTGATTCACTCCGTTATCCCATTCAGAAAGACAGACACTTTGAAGAAATTTTGCTGTTTTGTATCAAAAAATAACAATGACCTGAATTATTTTTTTGAAATCCGAATGAACGAGAACTGTCAATAAATTTCGCAATAGGGATTGAACAATATGGTCAAATTAATTTTTTAGATATTGTGTTAAAAAACTCGTCAAATCGTAGTGTTACAAAAGTACTCGCTTCGGCGGTGCATTTACTAAAATTAGAACGATACGGAGAAGATTAGCATGGCCCCTGGGAAGGATGGCACGCAAAATCGTGAAACGTTCCACATTTTTCAAAATCAGTATCTACATAATTTGAACCTCCATCAACCAAAAACCTTTTCCGACCCGAATATCCCTAACCCCACTTCATGGACTACCCCAAAAAATCTCATTGATACAAACCTTTACCAGTTCAATGAAAAAAGAAAATAAAAATAAAAAGTTGAGAGATTCCAAGTGTTAGGAATCACACGTTAAAAGATAAGACCTCGTTAGTCCTCAACTCACACAAGTTCTCAACTTTTGAGAGTTGTCGTTCGTATGGGGACGAGAGCTGATTAACGAAAAAACAGAAACAGATTTTTTTAAGTCACATTAGTTCACAACGTTTCGATTGTTTGTATCTACAATCGAAACATCGTGAACTAACGTGACTTGGAATCTCTCAACTTTTCATTTTCTTTTTTCAATTCTTTAATTTTATTCAATTTTGTTCAATTGTTCTATTTTACTTGTATTTTATTTCACTATTATTTCATTTCAGGTTAATTTTGCTTAATATAATTGTTATTTTCAGCTAATCATTTTTAATCCTTCTTTTTTAGTTGTTTCAGATATTTCAAATCATTTTATATAGTAGAAAATGGAAGTCCGAACGAGTGAAATTCATCATGAAACATTGTCAGTCACCTTCAAACAAACAAGAAATGAATGACTTATACGTGTATGAAACTACCTCAAAATTAAAACAAATGCACTGGGGTGTAAATATATCAGCATTAGGTCCATCAAACTCTGCTGTCCCTACATTATACCCTACATAACATACATTGGTTATACCGATAAAACCAGATCTAATTGAATATAGAACTTTCAAAGACTCAAGTATATTAGTAGCCTTTTAGTTCTATTCTCAATAATTCTCAATACCATACCTTCAAATCTGTACTTAGTTGCATGCCAAGGAATGGTTTGAAAACGTCAAATCATTTTTACCTAGTCTGAAGGACCTTTCATGTTCAGCATACCGTTTTTGGAAATTTCGACCACATAAACACTATTACACTCTGGACACTTAAGCTTATACATTCCAGATTTCACTAACTTGTCCACTTCATCTTTGGCATTAAAAAAAAATCAGATAACCTGGCATGTGGTCTGAATGCCACTTCCACATTGTTTTTTCTGAAGAAACCTTCAATTATCTTTGTTTTTTTACCAAAATATCTCAGAGTTTCCTATTTCTTGATTTGTGATTGTTTGATCTGGGGGTATATTAATCTGTAAGTGAACTCATGGCTTTATTTTCTTACTAACTTCTGGATTGTATCTGAGTTGAAACCATTATTATGGCCTTTTTGTGTAATTATATCAATTTCCCTAGCTATATTGTTAGCAGACAAAGGCAGTGAGAATGCTTTGTGCAATATTAAATTGTAGGCTACTAAGTTATGATTGTGATTGTGTGTAATGATCAGGTCTAAGAAATGTATCTATTTCTTCATCTCTGTTTCGAGTGTGAACTGAATGATGCTATTTAGATTATTCATGAATATCATAAATTGGTTCAACTGTCGTGTAGTTCCTCTGAAACAGGTGAGAATATCGTCAACATATCTGTAACAAAAATGAATATGTGTTTACCCATGTCGGAATTCACTATAATGGTCTCCAAGTTATTCATAAATATGTCTGCTAAAAGTGGAATATGAGGTGAGCCCATTGGTAAACCTGAATCCTGTTTATAAAATTTGTTGTTGAACTGTAGGTAACTCTGATTCAAGCACACATAAAAAAGCTGTTGAAATTTCAAAGGAAGTGATATGGTCTACTTTGGTAACGTTAGTTAGAAAAAACATAGAAAGTTTCAATTCTCATTTCTTCATTATGATATCCTACCACGTAGTAATGGCTACATCCATCAATTTATTGAAAATACCGATTATTAGAGAATCAATGGATGTTTTTCTAAAACCACAGTTTTTCCACAAAAACCTAATGGGTTGGTAAATGCCAAACTCGCTTATTATTTCGATTACATAACAAAACCCGATAGCGTTCGTTAATTCGTGAAACCTTCCACTTTTTTTCATTTTCATGCTTTAACCTGTACTGAATAATGACGACTTCACTGCGTACTACGTAGAAATGTTGAGGGTGACACAGCACAACCCTCGCTTTCTAGTTTAGTAGGGCGAGACATTCGAATAATGGGCATTTGTTTGTGTGATAGATGAGTCATAATGAAACCTAATGTTAAAACATGAATACATGAAATGGACGTTGTGATTGACATTCAAACGCATTATTGTTATGAAGGTGCGTGGATCGATACTCTCTACCCCAGGGATATGTTAGATACATCACATAATGTATGCCAGAACCATTTTTTTATATTTATGTGTGCAATACTATTTTATAGGAATCTGATCTGGAAGTGATTCTTTTCTTTTTTCTTCCGTTTAGAATTATGACATCTCAGAATTCGGCAGGTACAGAAGTTTTTCAAATACAAACCTCCAGTAAAAAAATTATACGATTCATTGAGTTGATTCCTAATTGGAATTAGTAATTTCTGATCTCAAATAGATTATTTCATTTCAGTTTGCATCTGAAATTTCTGTTCGTGATCTGAAAATCTCTTGAAGAAAAAGTTGATATTGTCACTTATTGTTATTATTATTTTCCTTCTTTGGAAATTCCCATCTCACCAAAAAGCAATGTGAAAAATTTTTAAAATTATTAATGATTTGCTGGTTTCCCCTCGCTGTGTGTGTTGCTTGTGCTCGGCAATGCGAAAATTCAATGGCCTCTGCAATTCTTGGAATCGCAGTCCGCGTTTGGTAGCCTGGTTTTCGTGAGGCTGCTACGGATAGTGTTACCGGATCTGAAGCAGGTTCTGATGTTGTACTTGGAACCAATTCTTCTCATCCTTTCCGATAATCCTCTGATAAATTTTTTTTGTCTCAAAAGTGAGTGACTTCTGTAGAAAAATTAATTTGCTACAAAAAAGTTTCTCCGATCAACAGTAATGTAATTTCAGTAATTTTAACGATGTATGCATTCTAGTTCATATTTATTCACTAAATACAAAATATAGTCTATAAACAACATTTTTTTAACGTCATAGCGTGTGTTGTAAATAATAATTTATTCTGTAAAATTGAAAATTTCCAATTTCAAGGAAATTTGGTATAAACCATTAATAATATTTACCTTTCCAGCTTTACTGCTAAAAAACTGTTGATTGGATAGTGTTTCCTAAAAAGAACTTTTTTGTAGCAAATTCAATTCCCTACAAAATGTCGCTGTTCACTCATTTTTTTTAATACTGAAAACTCGAGTTGAAACCGAAGAAAAGGTTTCCTCTGTAAGCCTCCATTTGCCTCTATTTTTTTTATAAATTATCAAACTTTCAGGTAGATCCGAAAAAAGTATCGCCTGAAAATGAAAAACCCTAATTAACGTGTGTACTACAGTTTCAAATACGAATTAAACATATGCGTTTCATAATGTCTCACAGAAAAATCGAGGAATAGTCTTGAAGACAAACTTACTGTCAATGAGTTATTTGTTGTGTTTATTATAGTTCAATAATAGTAGTACCCGAAATAGGATTCGTCGTTTGGTATAGCAGGAATAATATCAGATTATTCTTGAATAATATAAGCAAATTAATTTGGAATGCTGAACGAGATATTAGAGTAGCAAATATCGGTATTACTATTTTTCCAAACACTATTATCTCTTATAAAATACTTCATTTTCAATTAAATCAATTTTTTGTAAGATGCGTGATGTGATATGAATACCATTTTTTCAATATGTTCAAGGTAGGCGGAAATGGAGAAATTGGGTGTCGTGAACAAAACAAGATATTTGAAAATCAATTCTTCCTGCATAATGAAATACAACACATTTTAAACATTCTTCATTTTCACTTACAACCCTCACTTCACAGAAGCCGATGACAGGGATCTGACGTATTTACTGTTGTTCCCAATTTGCATTTTGTTTCCGATTGTAAATCATGTCTTACTCAGCATTTTTAGAAGTGGTGAAATCTGTTCTTAGCGACAATTTCGGACCCACAATTGCTACTGAATATTTATTGGGGTACCCACTAACCTCCTACCTGTTTGAAATACAACATTATGATACTCACAAATCAGGTCATAAATGTCGATAAGTTAAATTAGTTTACAGCATGTCTTCCAACCAGTAGCTGACCATTAACATTCCGGCATGTTTTACAGATGAAATACGGTTAAAATCTCAACAAAATGTATAAAAGTTTTATAGCCCAAAAACTTTCCCAATAAACAATATTCTTGAAAGGATTGGTTGGGTAAAAGGATGAATGTTTTCTTTTAAAAAAAACCTCGTTTTCTTGGCAAGAAAAATTATTGGATCACTAAACTAGTTAACCAATATTCTTAGAATACAGTTCCTTCAAAAGAGAAAGACAGTTTATAGGTTATTGCTAATTCAGTTCGAACAGAACGATTTCGTTTAACAAAGTCTCAAAAAATAGCCTGGAGTATAATTTTTATAATCGTCCACTTCTAGAGTTTAGAGTTCTCAGTCAATCTAAGTTTAAAAAAATGGTGAAAGAGTATCTTTTAAGATACAAAGTCAATAAATATTTCAATAACCCAACTTTGATAATATTAATGTTTTATTTCTTTTTCTTTTTTAATTTGTATGCTGGTCCAGCTTTCTATTTTTTCTGACTGCAGAAAATTTCAGATAATTTTACGAAATGTTTGTGGTGTCTAATATTTGTGACTCATTTTGAATGTGAATGACTTGCTACAAACATGTTTGAGTATGTAACGTAGTTATGGAAATCTTGGATTCATTGATGATTCACTTCTTCAAAATATCATTCACAAAAATGGATCAATGATGGGAAATCTTGTGGTACTAGAACCCGAATCAGTTGGAAGTGATGGGATAATTCTGAAAGTCATGGACACTATGTGAGATTTACAAATTGTTCCCAATAGTATTTGAACTGGGATCTTTTCCAACTGAATTCAGAAGTGCTATCTCAGTTTCTGATGATCTTA